TTGACACATTTCATAATAAATTACTTTATTTGATCATTTCACAAAAACACATTCTGTTAAATAATAATAAAAGAGATTTGGATGAAATTATAAGAGTGAAGAAATTTTTTTCAAGAGTGAAGAAATTTTAAACACAAAACTGAAAGAAAATAAAATTCAAGTTTTAGATAATAAATTCCAAAAATTAAAACAAAATTTATTAAAATCATTTAACATGAATCAAAAAGACGACACGGTCTCGACTCTCTTTTTGCTATGTTGTGCGAAGCTCTTCAAAGTCATCAGTAAGTATTGTTAATTCCTTTGTATATTTTGTAGCCTATGTTCATGTTTCGATATATTCGCTCTAATTGCGAATCTGGATTCAATCAAGCTCGTCGCATTAAATGTTGAATATCGATTAAATAATCCTTGAATTTTTCCTTTGGTTAATGAAGGCGTGATCGTACCACATCTTCTATATTTTTCGAAATTTATTCCGAAATATCCAGAGTAGAGTAGTTGTCTTGGATGTCCTGATATAGATCTTGTACTGATTGTGGTTTCTTCAAAGCTGTTCTTTAAAAGCGCACAACAACCGATCGTATTGAGATAAGTTTGGTTTGAACACTTCTTTATTTTGAAGTATTCTTTTTGATTACTATGCCTTCGGTTAAATAAATCCTTTACTTAGAACTATTCTTTTGTATTTAATTTAGAATTGTATCGACTAAAGTAAACTTAACATACTACAGCCGGTCATAAGGATATAATTTCTGATTGTATACCTTCAGTTGAATATATCCTTATATGCAAATATTCATTTGTATTTTAATTAAGAGTATTTCACTTGCAATAAGCGTACTACAGCCGATCGCAGTGCTATAATTTTAAATGCAAGCTATATCTTTGCATGAATATATTCTGATGTGGATATATTCTTTTGTTTTTTAATTAAAAATTATTTCACTTACAGTAGGCGTACTATAGTCGATTGCAGTGCTTATAATTTGAAATAAAAGCTTTTTCTTCAGGTGAATATATCCTGATATGGATATATACCTTTCTTTAATTTATTTCATTGTAATATGTAATGTTTGTACCAAAAGTGTTGTGTCCAATGTATATTTTTCTCAACTTTCTTTTTTGTTCTATTTTATGTTTGATGTGATTCGGGACAGGTATTACATTTTTGGTTTTTGTTATTGGTGTAGATGCAGATGCTGCAGATAATAGTAGAGAATTAAAATTGATTATTGCATTACTTATTTCCTCTTTTGTTCTTAGAGCTACATCTATAACTAATTGTTCTTCTATTACCTCGCGATATGTATCGCAACATGTTTTATAATTGTAAGTATTAATGTTCGTGTTGTTCATAGTAAGAGTTGCGCTGTAAACTAGTACTATCGGAAAGTGGTTAGAGGACAACTCAAGGCTGGAATGAATGGAAAAGTTACTTACATTTATGTTTTTTGTTATAAAGAAGTCAATCAAATCAGGTTGCTTTCTTGGGTCACTAGGCCAGTATGTATAAATAAAGTACTTATAAATTTTGCTTTGTATTCATTCAGTGCGGTGTAGAGATTTTTGCCCTTTGCGTTTGTTAAATGTGAACCCCATAGCATATTTTTTGCGTTAAAATCCCCTCCGACTATAAATCTTTGACCAAGAGATTTGAGGAAATTTAAGTACGAGTCTTTGGTATTTGAGAACTTAGGAGGACAAGAAACAGCAGCCAATTTTAATAGACCATGGGAATCTTCAATCTTTACTGTGGTCGCTTGTATTTGTTCTGTACTATGGTTTTCTGATTCAGAGCTAACTACACAGTTTTTTATGAAGATGGCAGTTCCACCGTGTCCTTTTCCGTTGGGATGATTGGTTTGAAATATTGTGTAATTTTTTATTTTAACATAGCTTGTTTCAGTGAAATGCGTTTCTGAGGTTAATAGTATGTCGATCGAATTTGAGTACAGAAAAGTTTTCAATTCGTTGATATGTCTACATATACCGTTTGCATTCCATGCTACTATTTTCAATTCATTGAACTTACCCATTGATTTTTGTGACCAACGCCGTTAAAATGTTCATCATTCCTGGCATTTGTGTTATCAATGTTTTCATCATTTCTTTTAACTCTGCGAGTTCTGGGTTGTTAGAGTTAGTTTCAACAAGTGTTTGACGCGTAACTTGGGCATATGATAATGTTTGTGAGATGTTGGCATTTGTGTTTTGAGCAGTTGCATTGTTTGTTGTGTTGAAAGATTGTTGATGACTTGTTTGGACGGATGTTACTTTTTCTCTCATGATTGGATATCGTTTAATTTTAAGAGATTTGTACACCTCACATCCCTTGTAGTTGGCTGTATGCTTTTTTCCGCATAAGGCACAGCTTATGTTTTCAGAATTTCCTTTTGTTAGACAACTGGCGGTTTTATAATTTCCTGCACATTTATCACAAACCGGTGACTTGGTGCAGGAATTTTTTATGTGTCCATATTTTTGACAGTTAGAACATTGAGGTATGACTTTTTGAGGGCGAGGTGGCTCAAATTGGATTTTGCAGTGAAGTAAATATTTAATTGAGTAAATTTCTTTATTATTCACATTTTGTTTTAATTCTAAAGAGAATAAATTTAATAACCTCATAGTTCGTAGTTGTAATATGTTTTGGATATTTATGATTTCATGACCGTTTTCATGAAGGCTTTTTTTAATTTCATTTGTATCCACTGAGTAGTTCATGCCACGGAGAAAGACTTTAAAACTTCGTTCTTCCTTCGGTTATATGTATAGTATTCGGTATTTTTTTCTTTAAGCAGCTATATTATGCTGGTGTAATGAGTTGAGTCAAATGGTTGCAGTTTGACTTCATTATTTGGTAATACTTTTATTTCATATTTGCAATTCGGTATTGCGTCAATTGCCTTTATTAAAATGTCTAGTCTCTCTACTTTTTGAATAAAGAGCAGTGGTGTTTTGGTTTTTTTAATTTGTTTCGTTGCATCATTTTCGTTGCTGTCGCTCTTTTCACTATTCACTTCGCCGTTATCGTTTTCGTCCGATAAGCATGCGAACCTGTTTGCTGGTTTGGCAAGCCAATAGTTCGTCAGCGTTTGCTGATTAGACGATTGCTCTTTTTGCTTTTGTTTCTTGATCCTCTGCTTTTCTTTTTAATTATTAGGAGATGATCTATTTCTTTTTGTTGATGCATTTGATGATTCTTGTTGTTGCATTGATGATGTTGTTGTTATTATGCTAGTTGATAATGAGGTGGCAATAGTATTTGTTGTATTACTTACAGGTAGAGTGTATACAATGTTTTATATTTTTAATTATTTAAAATTGGAAATTTCCAAATAAAATTTATTTAAATTTATTTATTTATAAAATTTATTTTTTTATTTCATCTATTTAAGTTTTTTAAGAATACTTGAAAATTACACTGTGGCAACACCACATTTATAATTTCTAACCAAAGAATACTTTCACTAGAACGGAAACTCCGCCCACTTCCATCGAAACGAAGAGGAATTTATTACATTTTGGCACACGTATGGAATACATGTGATTTTACCACAATAACATCAAATTACTCTCTTTTGGGGTTACAGTATATTAATTTCGCACTACTTGCTTATCATATGCTTTCCTTTTAATAATATAAAAAAGTTGTGCGTACCTTATTTGGTTTATAATATCACATCACGTTAACAAAATATATATTGTAACAACATAAATATATGATAAATAAATATATAAATTAATATATAAACATTTAAATCAGTCAATTTTAATCAGTTTAGTTTGCTTAATCATGTAATATGTATTCAGCAAATTCATAATTTTATTAATTTTTTCATATAAATTTTAAAGTATCTTGATTTATTATGTTCGGCAACAAACTTTTGTAGAAGCGAATTTTTTTATAATATAAAAAAAAATAGTTTTGAATATTTCTTATTTAATGATTTGTATTTTCTTAAATATTTTTTGAGCGTATAAAACATTATTTCTAATATAATATTGAAATTATATCATTAAATGCTGTTATGATGTGTAATTAACAATAAAAACCGAAGCTACTACCAATTAACTTTTTTATACGGCAACACTCAAGTGGTGAATGATGAATTATATTTCTCTGCATAGGCAAATTTTTCAAATTTAGTGCTGAAAAATCTATTGATGAGTGAGGATGTACGCGCATTCGCTGTAAATTTATGTGATGAATGGAACGTATTTTTAGTTTGTATCAGAGTTGCCGTTTTAGCACTTTTGCTGCTAGATTTTGCATTTTTTTTTGTGGAATAGCTGCAAAAATTGATTTCAGCATTTCAGTTGAATTTTTATTGGCATTATTTAGAAAATAGTTTAAAAATTAATAGAAGTAACATATTTGACACTTTTCAAGAAGAGAAGATAATGATGAGTGACAAGGAAATCACCAATATAGGACTTCAGTGGCAAAAATCAACACTTCATACTTGGAATAATATAAACTGAACTATCAAATTTTAGATTTGTGTGCTTGAATACAAGAATGCAATACATAAAAATCCCTTTAATACATTGGCGACGTTTTTCATGAAATATTTAGTGTTACCTTTTAGTAAAGCGAAGGTTAAACGTGTGTTTAGTGCAATGAATTTAGTATAAGCTAAACTTAGAAACAGAATCCTTATTGAAACAATGATTTATATTCTTTCCATTCGTTGCGGTTGATCGAAAACTATTTAATTTAATAGTCTTTTTGTTGTTTGATTTTATATAAAGATAGTAAAATCCAAACGCACCTTTTTTGTTGAGCGGTTCACAAACCACTGACTTTTATTCTTAAAACATATTATTAACAATAGCAACAAACAAAACAAATGGAAAGCTGCGGCTATTAAAAGCTTTTTTTAGTTGTAAATAAATGTTAAATAATTGAAATTAAAATAAGTACAAGAGAACCCAATTGACTTAACATACCGGCCCCCATTGAGACCGTCAGGTTCAATTAATAGGTAATACAGCTAGCTTCGTAATTGGTTTGAGTTGTGTAAAAGTACTATATCCTTGTGAAAATAGCGTTGTTGAATAAGATATACAATATGCAACAGAGCGCGTTGTATTTCATCTACCACGAATAATGATTGAATTTGTGCATCGTGCTTGTGGTGCCCTCTTAGCATCAGCGCAACCATACGTAGACATTTGTTATAATTGCTTATCTGATGAAGTCTCTGTAGCAAATACGGAGGCTTGACATCTTCCAAAATGCACACTAGTTTGCGAGTTTCTAACTTGCGTTCGTCAACTGTTAGTTGATTTATTGAATGTTCTGGCCAGTTTGGCCACAGCAACATTAAAAATGAAGGTCCTTTGAACCAATTTGATGACAGTAATTCTGGGACGGTACACCCTCTAGACACGAGATCAGCTGGATTCTGATCGGTTGGTACATGGCGCCAAAATGCATTTACCGACCATTCTTGAACGTCAGCAACTCGATTACCAACAAAGGTCGCTAGTGTTGAAGAATGAGAACTAATCCAATGTAAAGTAATCTGTGAATCAGACCAAAAGTATATGTTATTAATATAATATAATAAATTATCTTTAATCTTGCTCCAGCATCCAGCAAGAAGATGGGCGGCACACAATTCAAGACGTGGTAATGATCTTGCTTTCACAGGAGCAACTCGGGATTTGGAAGTTAATAAATGAACACTAACATTGCCAAAATCATCTTGACAACGTAAATAGATACAACATCCGTATGCTCTAATTGATGCGTCGCTGAAGCCATGTACTTGCATGTTAATTGAGTTATTGATTCGAGTGAACCTAGGAATTTTAAGAACTACCACTTGATGCAAATCAGCAAGAATTTTGTTCCATGTTGTGTAAATTTCTTGAGGTACGGATTCATCCCAATCACATCCAATTATCCATAGTTGCTGTAACAAAATCTTAGCTTTAATGATAAGTGGACTAATTAGACCCAAAGGATCATATAAAGATGATGCTAATGACAAAATGTTTCGTTTAGTATGACTTGCTGGTACATTGGTTGATTGAAAAGTGAAGCAAAAATAGTCTTCTTTCGTATTCCATAACATTCCAAGTGGGCATGCCATATCTCTTGCAGTCTCAATATCTGTAAGTTTAACATTTGGTGCAGTGATGTTAACATTGTTGCTATTCCACTTTGTTAACGATAAGTTGTGAAAATCCGATATTTCGGTAGTTTCATTTTTGATGGCTTGCAATGTCTCCAAGTCATCTGCTCCTGAGATCATGTCATCGACATAAAAATCCCTTTTTAATATCATTTTACCTGTTTCTTTACGGTAAGGATAGTTATCTGCAATGTAGTGTAAGCACCGAGTTGCAAGAAATGGCGCAGAACTCGTACCATATGTAACAGTATTCAGTTGATAAACTGAAATATTTTGCGATTTATGCTCACGCCACAAAATTAGTTGAAAATTGCGATCACTTGGATGTAGCCAAAATTGTTTATACATTTTTGTTATGTCAGCCGTTATTCCATATTGATACAATCGAAATCTTAATAATGTTATTACAAGTTCATTTTGGATTGTAGGGCCCACCATTAATAACTCATTTAATGACACTTGTGATGATGTACGAGCTGAAGCATCAAAAACTACACGTAATTTAGTAGTTGTGCTATCTGGTTTAATTACATAATGATGTGGGATAAAATAGTGGGGAGAATTTAAATCCAAATTCTTAACCATCGACATATGGTCGAGATTTTCGTTATCTTGCATAAATTTCACATATTCCAATTTCAACTCAATATTGGAGTCAAGTCTTCTTTCCATAGATAAAAATCTTCTTAATGCAATTTCCTGAGAATTTCCAAGAGTACTTGTGTCGCCTTTGAATGGCAACCTTGTCATAATTCGGCCATCGTTACTGAGAGCTACAGTTTTTTGAAAGTTGGTTTCGCATTGCTGTTCTTCTACTGACCATAGTGATGGTGGATGAACTGGTTCCTCTATCTGCCACAACCATTCCAAGTTCGCATTAATTGTATCCAAGCTGACAACACAATGGGATGAAACAATTTTGGAATCTTTAGTAGAACAATATTTTCCTGAAATAATCCAGCCGAACCCAGTTTTTTGTAAAGTCGGTAAATTCTCACCAAGTTTTATTTGGCCTACTGCTAGCAGTGAAAAGAAAGCTTCTGCACCAAGTAACATATCAATTTTTTGGCGTTTGTAAAATGTCGGATCAGCTAATGGAAGATTTTCAGGAATTTGCAACTCTTCTAACGACAGTGTTTCATTAGGGTGATATCCAGAAATTCTTTTGGTAACGAGAAACTCAAGTACTGCTTCAAAACTGTTTAACCTTGAACGTATCGTACTTATTGTTTTGTGTTTAATATTTACTGATGCAGCTCCTACACCAACAAGACTGTTTTCACTTCGTGACTTTTTTAGATGAAGTGTATTACACATCGATTACGATATTAAATTGACCTGCGAGCATGAATCGATTAATACTCTACAGAATTGAAAAGTACCCGATGCATCTTTAACTAACACCATTGCTGTTGCCAAAAGCACCACTGATTTTACCCGAGCAGAAGTTTCGTCTGGAACTAGTGCATTAGTGTGTATATGACTTAGAGGTGATATTGTTTGCTCACATAAAGGTTCCATATAAGATGCACCAGTACTATGTAAAAGTGAATGATGTCGTTTTTTGCACATTCGGCATGAATACGTTGATGGACAATGTGTGCTAATGTGATCTTTCCGGAGACAATTAAAGCATAGTTGGATTTGCTTCACCTGTTGACATCGATTTTCAACTGATAGAGCTAAAAAATTTGGACAATTAGTAATATAATGACCAGGTTTTAAACAATATACACAATGAATCTGACTTGTAGACTTTTGTTTCATTATTAAGATGTGCTTGAAAGGTTTACGAACACTAGTATGCTGCAACTCTTGGTTGATTGTAGCCTTTGGCTTGGCCTTTGCTAGTACCATTAATTGTTGACATCGCCTGTCAAGCATCTTGCAACATTCCAGCCAAGTTGGTAGTTTCGTATAGTCGTGACATTCATTCCATTTACGTTTCGTCTCACTATCCACTTTCGTCATCACCAAGTGAAGCATGATTGCATCACATATCTGTTCGTGTGATCCCAGTGACTTAAGCGAACTATATAAAGCCGAAACGTTGTCCACTAATTGGCGAAGTTGAGTCGAATCAGGTTTAATACATTGTGGTTCATCAAAAAGTGTTGCAATGCCTTCCAGAAATATGAGAGGGTCATTGTCGTATCGCTCTTTGAGTCTTTGGAGAGCCTTCGGATAGTTGTCTTCCGTTATCTGGAACACCTTTACTGTAGCTAACGCTTCGCCTTGAAGACACGATAACAAATGATTGAATTTTTCAGTTGATGTCAAGAGTGAATCACTATCTACAAGGTTTTGAAAAATATGTATAAAATTTTTGAATTCAAGATATTTGCCGTCAAACTTAGGCAACTTTAAATGTGGCAATCTGTTTGACGGCAGCTGTGGTAACGAGAAAGTTTGCTCGTGGTAGCTTTGTCTCCTCCGTCCATCAACTAATGACAATATTAAACATTTTGTACTTACGTACAGCTCATCGATGTCAGAGCGCGCTGAATCTGTAGGACAATATCGCTCTATCTGATTCTGGTAGTAAGATACCTGCTTATAATATGCATCTAGCATCCTAAGTCTACACTCCAATTCCGTTGACGATAAAGTTTTGTTGTTCTCAACAATATTTTTAATTCGCGTTATACTGCCTTTTGTAGATGCTCGCTGCTGTTTTAATTTTTCTAATGAAGGCAGTGGTGGCAGAGAATTTGACGCTGCAGTCGAATTGTTTTCGACAGCGCTGCTCGCTGCTGCATTATTAGAATTTTGCATCACCGAAAGCAAATGCAAAACCGAAAATAAAACAAAAAAAAACCAACTAATGTTATGAAGGTTAATAACCTGAATGATTGTCAAGGTTATTGTAAAATTGAACAACTGTTGTTTATTTTTAAGTTTTAAACAATTACTGATGTAAGAGAATATTAATATTAAGTTTTTAATATTAATTTGAAACACCTTTAGTCTTTATTTATATCAAGTCTTTAATATAAATTGAATTTAATTTGAAACACTTTTAGTCGTCATTTATATCAAATTTTTAATATAAATTGAATTTAATTTGAAACACTTAATATTTAATTTATCTTAAGTCTTTAAAATAAATTTAAGTTAATTTCAAACACTTGTTTCTAGGAACACTTCGGTCGTGTCCTGTCACGGTCGCCAATGTTCGAAAACTATTTAATTTAATAGTCTTTTTGTTGTTTGATTTTATATAAAGATAGTAAAATCCAAACGCACCTTTTTTGTTGAGCAGTTCACAATCCACTGACTTTTATTCTTAAAACATATTATTAACAATAGCAACAAACAAAACAAATGGAAAGCTGCGGCTATTAAAAGCTTTTTTTAGTTGTAAATAAATGTTAAATAATTGAAATTAAAATAAGTATAAGAGAACCCAATTGACTTAACAGCGGTTTAAAATTGCAAAATAAATGTTACGAAAACTTTGAAATACCTCTCGATCTCATAAAAAAATTCAGTAACGAAAATAATGCTTTACGAAACTCCGTTCAAGACGAGGAAGTATTATACGATGTCAATTTGGAAGATGTATTTACATAGAAATTCTTCTTTTTAAATTTTTGATAAAGTAATATACTGTAAATAAATAAAATATTCTTAATTATGTTCTTATTTGGTGTTTAAATCATCATAAATTTTAATATTTTTAGCATTTATTTAGGATTTTTTAGCGTTCTTTTAGAATTCTTTTAAAGCTGAAATAGCATTATATTTTTCAGGGATGTGGCCACACTGGTTTGTATGCATTTCTAACTGATCAGTAGCGATAAATCTGTTGATAGGTGAGGATGTACGCGCATTCACTTCAAATGTATGTGGTGAATGATGCGTATTATTCGTTTACATACACTACTGTATGATTAGGTTTATATGCATTTTTTAAGTAGAAATATTTTTATATGCAATTTAATAAAAAAGTATTTTATAAATATTGAAAAATTTTTAATTTACCATCATTTTTATAAAATATATTTATTAATAAATATTAAAGTATTTAAGAATATAAGTAAATGTGGAAATAGTTAGAAATGTCTATTCAAATGAAATGAATAGTGAAATTGAATTAAAGGGCAGTGATATGAATGAGTACTATGAGTACAAGGTCCCTAATGTTAATTTGAACAAAGAAGTAAACTTACAGGAAAGGTACGGAAAATTACTGAAATTAATAAGATTGGATGAGCGTTTAAACAATGAAGAAAGACTTGTGTGGATGGGGAAAAGAAATGGCGTCTCGTGGTTGATTTTAGAAAAATAAATGAAAAAACAATTAAACAAGTGTTTCCAATTCCTAGAATTGATGAAATTTTAGACCAACTAGGATGCAGTAGATATTTCTCAACGCTGGATTTGGCTAGTGGCTATCACCAGGTGATGGTAGACAGTAAAGACAGGGAGAAAACGGCATTTAGCACAGGTCTAGGACATTTTGAATTTCTTGGAATGCCATTTGGTTTAACAGGAGCACCCGCAACTTTTCAGCGAATTATGAATAGTATTTTAACAGGGTTACAAGGGATAGATTGTTTCGTCTATCTCGACGATATTGTTATCTATGGAAGGAATTTAAACGAGCACGACCAAAGGTTAAGGAGAGTATTACAAGCACTAAAAGAAAATAATTTAAAATTACAAACGGAGAAATGTCAGTTTTTAAGACGAGAAGTCGTTTACCTTGGATATAAATGTTCGGACAAAGGAGTAATTCCAGATCCAGACAAAACTAAGTGTGTTAAGTCTATCCCAGCACCTCGAAATGTTAAGGAACTGCAATCATTTTTGGGACTTGTGATTTATTATAGGAAATTTATCCCATAAGCAACGAGTGTGTGTTTACCACTTAATAAATTACTAAGGAAAGGAGAAAAGTTCGAATGGAACGACAGTTGCCAAGAAGCAATGATTAGATTGAAGGCTGCAATAACGAAGCCTCCTATACTCCAATATCCAGATTTCTCAAAACCTTTTGTTTTAACAACCGACGCTAGTAATGAAGCGTTAGGTGCAGTATTATCTCAGGGAGAAGTAGGTTCTGATTTACCACTTTATTTCGCAAGCTGTGCTCTGAGTAATACGGAGAAAAGATATTCAATTATAGAAAAGGAATTTCTTGCGTTAGTTTGGGCAACTAGAAATTTTAGGTCTTACTTATTGGGAAGACATTTTAAAATATTTACTGACCATAAGCCATTAAGAGGTATAGCAAATCTTAAAGACCAAGACACACGTTTAGGAAGATTCCGGTTGAAATTGTTGGAATACGATTTTGAAATTTTGTACAAACCAGGAAAAACAAACAAAAACGCGGATGCTCTGAGTCGGCTACCAATAGCAGTAGTTACGAGAGGAAATAAAAGAGCAACAAAACTAAAGGAAAACAAAAATAAAGTGGAACAAAATGAAAAAGAAGAAGTGGAAGATGCAAAGGACCAGACGAAAGAAGATTACGCGGTATTTCTAACCAAAAAAAGAGATGTCCAGGATGTGTTAAAGAAATTCCACGACTCATCTATCGGAGGACATCAAGGGGGTGTTAAAACGTATTTACAAATACGAAAACAGTTTAAATGGGCAGGTATGCAAAGACAGATAAAAGACTACGTCGAAACATGTCAACAATGCCAGAAGAACAAGAGCTCTAGGGTAGAGAAAATGCCGATGGTTTTGACGGATACCCCTCAAAGACCATTCGACAAAGTGTTTATGGATATTATAGGCCCACTACCTACTACAGAGAGTGGGAATAAGCTCATCTTAACATTTCAGGATGATTTTTCTAAATATTTGGTATGTACAGCACTACAGGATGGGGAAGCTACGACAGTAGCAAGGAAATTTTTTAATGAAATAATTTCAAAATTCAATATACCAAAAGTTCTAGTGACTGACAATGGGACTAATTTCACATCAAAATTATTCAAAGAAATCTGCAAAATTCTTGGTGATAAAAGGATACAAACTACTCCATATCATCCACAGGCAAATGGCTCTTTGGAAAGAAGTCATCGTCCTTTAGCGGAATTTTTAAGAAGTTTCGTTAAATTGGATGGATTCAACTGGGATGAGTGGTTGCACCATGCGATGCATGTTCATAATAACATAGTGCATTCTGCGACAAAGCAGACACCATCGAAAACACTATTTGGGTTCGAATTTGAAATTCCTGTAACACTAAAAAGAAAACCAACACCACTATACAACCATGACGATTTTTCAAAAATTTTAAAATATCAAATTCAACGCTCATACGACTTCGTTCGAAAAAATCAGGAATTGGCGAAACA